TAAAGTTAGTATTCGAAAAATAAATATTATAAATGTGGAATGAATGAATATTGGTCTTGTACCTGTTGTACACCAAAGCACTTCATCGAGCCTTTTCAAGCCTTATTGAAAAATAAATAGTAAAATATGAAGGCCACTTTTATATATAAAAGTAATATTAATTGAAATTAATTATTTGTTAGTTTTTCTATTTATAAATAAAATCTTTTATATTTCTTATAATTTATGTCGTATATTGATGGTTACAAATTTATATCGAAAAAGGTTCTATAATGATTCTATATAAAGATCATTCATTGACTAGCCCAATGGTAGTTCATTCACTTGATATCCAAAAAGATCATTTTCGACCTAAAGAAGATAACGAAGAACTTCTTGATCCCGAAGTAACATACCTTAGTACAATTGGTGCATTAATGTATCTTGTTAATAATACTCGACTTGATATAGCGTTTTACGTAAATTTATTAGCAAGATATAGTTCTGCTCTAACACGGAGACATTGGAATGAAATTAAACATATACTACGTTATCTTCGAGGAACAATTGATATGGGCGTATATTACTCTAACAAATTAAAAATTGGATTAATTGGTTATTCGAGATATAGATTATTTATTTGATCTACACAAAGCTCGATCTCAAATTGGTTATGTATTTACATATGGAGATACAACTATATCATGGCATTCTATGAAGCAAACTATAGCTGTCACGTCTTCAAACCGTGTAGAAATATTAACAATTCATAAGGCAAGTCGAGAATTTATTTGGTTAAGATCAATAACCCATCATATTCAAGAGACATACGGTTTATCCATTAGCAAGGAAGTTCCAATAGTCTTGTATGAAGATAATACTGCTTGTATAGCTCAATTAAAGGAAGGATACTTCAAAGGTGATAGAACGAAGCATATATAACCAAAATTATTTTTCACACATTGTAACTCCCGTAAAAACCCTTATCCGTAACGCGACGTGTATTAGAATAATTCTATATATATGTATATTAAGAGTAAGTATAATTATCATTTCATCATGAGAAATTAATGCTTGAAATATGTGATTTATGTTAAATTAAAGTTATTGTGCTTAATATTAATGGTTTAATTATTAAAGAAATCAAATATGCAAAATCGGTGTTTTAAGGACTATATTCTACCCGAGTTTTGTGTGAATTATTTGAGGACTTTAGGGTAATTTTTGGGTCAACCTTAAAGAATGAAAGTTGTTCATCTATATGTTGAATAGATCTGTATAAAAGTTTATAATATTTAGACCTATACATTAAGAGTTATACCAATTATAGTGAGGGTTGTTTCAAAATGCATTCTGCTGGAATTTTGGGAGAAGAATCGCCTGAATCTTGTGAGATTTATTTGATGCTGTTAGATTGATTTTTGAGCAAAACTTAAAGAATAAAAGTTATTTTTCTATGTGTTTACTAACTCTATATAAAATTTCATAATTGTTTGATACATATAGAAAGAGTGTTGCACATTTTAGTACATATGGGTTAGGAGGAAATGCTCGCTAGAATTTTAGGAGGAAAAGAAATTTCGAATTTTAAAAATGGAAATTTCTGAATTTTTATGAAAGAAAGTAGTTTTAGTTACTTTAATTAAGTTAATTAATGATTTTAATTAGTTTAAATTTTATATAGACACCTAAGTAAATGCAATAAATGAATTTAATGCCAACTCACCCATTATGGATTCCAAAGCAACCAGCTTTTCTCATGACTCACCCATAACCTTTACACCTTATCCCATTAATTTCTAACACTTGCAGCTGAATGAAAGTAAGTATATACATATATAGCAAGTGTTAAAATGGGAGAAAAATTTTAGTAACCCGTAGGTACTAGAAATTGAGAGAGAAAAGGCAAGAAAGAAAAGAGAGGAAGAAAAACGCGAGGAGAGAAAGGAAAGGAAAGAAAACGAGAAAGGGAAAAAGAAAAGGAAAAGAGCTAAGGAAACTATAATCAAACCTAAAAGAGGTAAGTAGGTTTCATTTTTTTGGCTGATTAATGTCTTAAATTATTTTGTTTAAGTTATTTTGTTAGTGTTTATTTCATGGGTTGTAATAATTTTCAATGGTTATATGCTTGATGCTTGGGATAAATCTATGTATGGATGCCTTGTTGTGATGATTTATGATGTTATGATTTTTTGAAAAATGTCCAAGTATGTGGTGATGGGTTGGATTGAACTTGGACTAAATTTAAGTGAACTATAAATATGTTTAAAATTGACTTGGAATGAACTAATAAATTAGTGTCGATAAGGAGTAAATTCTGTCCGAATTTTGGGATGTATGTTCAAGGATTTTCGATCAATTTCTAGGTGAAACTTAAAGCATAAAAGTTGTTCATCTATGCTTTACCTAACTGCCTTTAAAATTTCTTGGTCATTGGATTCGTGTACAAAGTGTTACACCCGATTTAGTATGGATAGCTCTAGATAAACTACTATTAGGCAGATTGCTCCCTAAGTTTCAAAAATTTGTAATTAATTGTGTACTTGGTATTTAGACCTAATTTTTGGATATGTTATAAATAAATATGTCTAGTATCTAAAATAAAATGAGTAAGATTTAATTATGTTCTGAAATTAGAAAATTATTTACTTGATTAGTAGTTGCCCGGTAATAAACCCTAAAACAAAAAAAATTAGACTTTGACAAAATTAATAGGTTTGGAATAAAATAAATGAGCTTAGACTAAATAAAATGGAATTAAATAGAGTCAATGGACCTAGGATAAAGTTAATGGGCTCGGATTAAAGTAAATGAACTTAGACCTTCTTTTAAATATTAATGAAACTACTTAACAATATTAATGAACGGAGGTTGTGTTCCCGCTATGAGTATCATGATTGGTATGTGAGCAACGGGTAAATTTTGAGTGTGGGTTGGACCATGAGTATAGTATGAGAATGAAGGATTGATACCCGAATTTGGTTGAATGTGATTAAATATGTCATCGCGTGCATCATGTGTATAGTGGGTGGTTTAAGACAAGTCAATTGATTGAGAAATGGTTTATACATCTAGGTTTGATAGCCTAACCGGAATAAATGGGTATTAGTAGTCTAGTACTTTAGGATGTGTGCCTGCACTATTAGACGATGGATTTTCGCTAATAGTAGTTATAACGAGGGATAATTCCGTTGTAGCAGAAGATGATCCGAGGATCATCCGGATGAAATCAAGTCGTGTGCTTGCACCTGTTAGACGATGGATTCTCGCTAACGATAGTTACAACGAGGGATAATTCCGTTGTAGCGGAAGGTGATCTGCGGACCACCCGGATGATAAATAGAGTAGACTGGCTAATACCCGTGGTATCCGAGATTAAAATTTATGAGTATGGTGGGAAGTCAAAACAACATTGCATATCACGTGCATCACCCCGCTTACCGAGCTTCGGCTCACCTCGTTGTTATTTTTTTTATGTCTTGACGAAAAAAGGACAAGTTGGTACGGATGCGGCGACTCCTCCTAATTGGCTCATGTGAGGCACCATATATTAGTTTTTATTTTGTACGTAAATTTGGGATATGAAGTTCGTGAGAAATTGAATATCGCCTGTAATGTTTTATTAATGTATTTAATTATGTTATGTAAATTTTATCTTAAGGAGTTATATACGTAATGTACTTGTTAAAGTCCTAAGAATATCATAAGAACACTACTTAGAGTTTAGGGTGTGTCGGCGTAACGCGCTTCGTCTAGTACCTACTTGGGTAGTAAAAATATGAGCTAGGGCGGAGGCATTACACACATGATTTTTAATGAAATGGTGATATTAATGTTTAACAAATTCGATCAAGTGATAATCCGAGCATATTTGTTTACTAAGGCATTACCTATCACAATTTTTGAGAAGATGATTCACAAGATTGAAATATATCGTTTTAGAGATCTCAAATGATGTTTTCAACGGGAGGAGGTCAATATCGAGATTAATGTGTACAAGGAATATTGCACTCTTTTTCTTTCATTAGGATTTTTTTCTCACTGGGTTTTTATTAGTAAGGTTTTAACGAGAAATGTTTCTTGTACAATGGACATTCGAGGGAGTATTATGAAATAATGAATGTCCATCTCCATTACTCATGATTCTTAATATAATTCAATTCATAATTCAATATGAGAAATTGAAAGGGTGATGTAATTTATTATTCATAGTTCATTCCAATTCTCTTCTCAAATTCGAAACCTATAAATAAGCTTGATTGTTCATTAGTTGGTGTACAAGTTTTCTGAGAGAATAAGAGAAACTTTGAAGTTCTTATCACTTGTATTTACTTTATAGTGAATTCTTCTTCTCGTCATCTTCTCGTTTAATTCTCCTATTATTTCTATTTATTTTATAACAAATAGTAATTTTATTAAATTTTTAACGCTCAAATACTTGGACAAATGAATTGTACATAACATAAATAAATAAATAAAAAACACAAACTCAATGCAGACGCATATAGATTTGAGCTGGGTTGAGTGAAGGAAAAAGAAATCTCTTCCCTTCTCTACAGTAGCCAGGGTGAGCATTGGCAATGGATGAGAAAGAATGAGGGCGTGTTGTTCCGTCAAGAGAAGAAAAGATGTTACTCTTGCTCCCACAGCCTAGAGAGAGAGGATAAAACGATGATTTCCCTGGTTGGGTTTGTTTGACCAATCGAAGGGGATTCCTTGATTTTTCTTTCTTTTTCATTGTGAACCCAACACGTGTAAATTTCTCTTCCATAATCAGCAAAAATCTGATAATAAGAAAACACAAAAATGGAAAATCCATCAATAGCCACCAATTCCACAGATTACCCCTCTCCTCTAACTCTCTAAACCACCATAACCGTTAACCCCCGCACATTCAGAAGGCCAATTTAGTCACTTCAAAATTAAAAGTCTCACGGTCACCAGATGATATAGAAAACACAGACAGACGTTGCCTACAGTTTTTTTAATTCGTTCGCCGTCACCATAAAATTATTTCTCAAATGATGCAGTCACTCAATCTGAAATTGTTGGCGGATTTTAGTACGGGTACGAGGATTTTTCTTCCGGGCCGGAGCTTTGGTTCGGAGAGGAGACAGTGTTTGAATATCAGAGGTTCCAACAGAAGTTGTCGGATTGTAGCATGTTCTGTTGAGAGAGATGGAAATGGTGAAGGAACAAGTTCGAGTTCAAGTTCGGGTTCGGATCATACTCCAAGTTCGTTTTTGTCTCGGAGTCAAACTTATGCTATGCTGAAACAACAAATGGAGGTTGCTGCACAATCTGAGGTAACATTTCAGTATTATTGTTATGTTTAATTAATAAATTGTGGTTATTTCTTTGGAACAATTTGATTTTAAATAAAGCCAATTTCTTCCTTCTTCTTCTTCTTTTTTTTTTTTTTTTTTCAAAAAAATAAAAACAAATTCTGATTTGGCATTACATTTTAATTGCCTAAATTACCAGCTTAATCATTGTTTGGTTTCTAGGAAAATGTAGGGAAAATTTATAGCAATTTGTGGGTTCAAATTTCTATTTTTTGAAAAAGTGTAAGCTTTTTATTTATTTATTTATTATTTATTTTGGTGAGCATAAGCAAACTGTATGTGGCATGAAAGCTCAGAAAGCATGAAATTTTTTTGGGTGTGTTTTTGGCAATAAAATGGGTTATTGGGTAGTAAAATCGTTGTGAATTTATAGTTTATTTTGATATTAGGACTACGAAGAAGCTGCAAGAATTCGCGATTCGTTGAAATCATTTGAGGAAATGGAACCAGTTTTGCGGCTGCGTAGGTTGCTTAAGGATGCAATTGCTGATGAGCGGTTTGAGGTAGCTGTTTCGGTATCTCATTTTCCAATTTGAATGTGAAGTTTTGCAATGCATAGTAGGTTTATTTGTGCTGCTGTTCCTTTTAGCTGTTGGAGAAGTTTCTATTCATTTTAGATTGAAACGTTTCATATTTGTTTCTGGGTTTGTTCAAAACGGTCATCTTTTTTTTTTTTTTTTTTTTGGCTTTCCAGTCTCCGTGATTCATCAATTCTGCAACTTTTCTGATGTCTCTGCTTGTCAGTTGTTGCCCATTTTACTGTTAGGTTCTCTTCTGTCACAATGGGGGGAAAAAAGGGGGGCTAAATTTACTTATGCTGTTATTGAAAATTATCATTTACCAACAGTATCAATGATTGGAATAAACTACTCTGTTTTATTCTTTAGGATATATAGGTTTTTGGTTTTGTTTGCCCCAATCATGAAGATTTCAGGAGAGATGATAGATTCCTAAAACATAAGGGTTGTCAAACGTGGGTCAAACAAGATATAAATCTAAGGTTAAAAAATAGTCTGACTCAACCGACATGGACAACTTGAATTGAATTAAGCTTTTGTCTATCTCGTCTTGTTTAGGAGTTCTGCCCCAGCCATCCTTCCGCAAGCTTTGGCAGGCTAGGTTCTTAGAGTGTTGTCAGTTTAGCATAAGATATCCAATCTTTTCGCTTTGGCCTGGGCCTTTATCTAGTAACTGCATTAATTTATATCTTAAATCATCCATCAGCACAAATATGACCATAAAGCTCCATTACAGAATTCAATATTATAGTAAAGGGTGTGGAAGTAATATAATTTCATGGAACCCTGGATATCGAATGGTTTTCAATGAGATACATCAATCTATAAATTGTAAACGTACAAGTATCAGTCTTTCGTCATCTTACTGTCTTGGAATGGGGCCAGTATATGTCTATGGACTTGATTGAGGTTGTTCATTATAATTATGGTTTCAGTTTTTTGATGTAGCAACTATTTTGCCCAACTCATGCCATGAAACATGATTTCATATTATTCCTAAGCCATTCTGTTTACCATGGATGTTTCTGATGAACTTTTATCTATTTGGTAAATTTTTGGCAGGATGCAGCTAGGTATCGCGATGAGCTAAAGGAAATTGCACCACACTCCCTCCTGAAATGTTCGAGTGATGCAACTACCTTGGTATGCTAACAATCTGGTCAGCATGGCAGTGTTATTACTGTTTTAGAAATCCTGTGTTTCATTTAAACTGATTTTATTTGGTTCATGTATCTTGTGTGACCATCTGGCATATCAACTGATTCATCTTATAAATCCCATGTTTTTATCCTCTCCATTCTTCCTTGACCCTATTATATTCCCATTTGACTTGTGTATTAAAATCTGGCCCGTGGGAAACTTATTTCCAGAATAATTGAATTAGAGATCCATCTGATGTTCTTGAACAACCCCTTTTGATCTCCCTGGTATATGTTCTTTTCAATACAAGTAATACAACACTATCAATATGGGAAATATGTTCAAAATTGGAGAATAAATGGGGTGATTATGGATGGGGCTGTTGCAATATGTGTGAGTTGGCAATAGATAACACGAAAGGTGCTTTACTATGAATGATCTTTTTGACAATAACACGAATATGTTTGAAATTGGGAGAATCAATGGGGTGAGTATGGATGGGGATGTTGCAATATGCCTGAGTAAATAATACGAGGTTTCTTTAGTATGCATGATCTTTTCCCGTGTCAAAGCAAATACCCACAATCTGGTCTAGGTTTTGAGTTTTTAGGCAATCACCCTTTTGCTTTATTTTGTATAGACTGAGTTAGCAATAGATAACACAAAGTTGCTTAAAAAGGAAGAAGCCAATTAAAATGCATATTAAATATGGTTTAACTTGATTAGAGTAGTCATATCAAAATCTCATGTGTTTCAGGGGATCAGGGTTCAAGTTAGGAGTGTTTACATTGAGGGCCGAAGTCAGCCTTCAAAGGGGCAGTACTTCTTTGCGTATAGAATAAGAATCACTAATAACTCAGATCGCCCTGTTCAACTTCTCAGAAGACACTGGATTATAACAGATGCCAATGGAAAAAATGAAAATGTTTGGTGAGTTGAATTAACTTATTCTGATAAGAGTCTTCCAAAATACTTCGTTTTATATATCTTCGTTATTCTTTTTCTTTTTTGGTTCCATTAGCATGGGCTGCAGTTAGCATTATATTGACTTCCATTGAATTTTGAATCATTTGTTATGCTGCAGGGGAGTTGGAGTTATAGGTGAACAGCCAGTTATACTTCCTACGGCAGGATTTGAATACTCATCTGCATGCCCGCTATGCACTCCCAGTGGTAGAATGGTAAGTTGCGGTTATGTTCTTTTTCTTCTTGAAATGTGATCGTTGGTTTTTGCCTTTTCTTCCCTTAATTTGGAAGGGATGGGGAAAAGGTTTGTGCTTATATAGCAACACTAGTAAATCTCATGAGTATTGAAGTGAGATCGTGTTCCTACAGCCTCAAAGCTTGTTTTTATCATGTATTGACCACTGTCTTATTATACCTGTACTTAGGGATATGAAGTCCGGTTTGTATTTCTCCACGCAACAAGTTCCAGCAGCGTATTAATGGGTGTTTGCCTTGCTGGCACCACACTTTCTATTGTATGGTCATATGCCTTTCTTTTTTCAAAGTGTGGTCTGAAGAAGTGTTCTTAAAGCTAAATTAATTGATATATATTTTGGTTTTCATTTATTTTAGGTATGAATGATTTTGTAAATTTTGAATAATTCCCATTCATAGGCATGCTCCTGAAACTTATTTCTTTCATACAAGTGCAGGAAGGTGACTTTGAGATGAAACACATTGACAAAGCAGGCTCACCCACGTTCAATGTTGCTATTGCTCCGTTTTCTCTCTCAATACTAGGAGATGGAAGTGATGCTTTTTGAAATGGGAATTGCCGCCTCACCTTTCGAGAGGGTACCGGTGGTAATCCAGCTAAGGCATAAGTAACCAGATTCTTGTGTGAGGCCGGAGAATTGATTGCTGTGAGAGAATGAGCCAACGACTTGAGTTTGCGTACATGGGCACTTCTGTCCACGAACCCTTCTTCTGGTATGCAATTTACTACTCTTTTTACCCCTTCTTCCAAAAGAGTATGGGAAACTTCACACTGGCCAGTTTCACACTTTCCGTATTGGGCCTCCGCATCCTTTCACATCTGTCATTACCGAGTCGAAGGTTTGGAAAAATGTAAAATAGTGTATTTTATCTTGCAAGTATAAAAATCATCTTTTGGGTGGAATTTTATGCTGTCGTCAATTGTTAGACTGGTGGATGTAAATTGTCAAAGTTGTATGTAACAAACTTATGGAAGAAATAATAATAATAGCAAAGATGATTTGAGGATACCAACGCTATACTATTAATACCTCTTGTCGTAACGATAGAAGTAATCAAAAGAGGTGGTTTTAATCTATGTTTGTTAATGCTGGTACTGTCCAAGCGTAGATATACGTGGCAGGGTTACCTTAGCATATCCTATATAAGAATTCTTGATTGAGATGATGTTTTGGACATGATTCCCTTGCCTGAAAAGTGCATAGAGAGTCGTATTGTCAACTAATCCTCCACATCGTAACATCTAGTGTGCATTGTTGAAGTCGAAAGAATCCCTTGGTGAAGGTGCTTCTTATTAGGAAAATCAACCGATTGGTCACTAGCCCTAAAATCTGGTGCCAGCCACCAGCTCCTTCCTGTTCTGCCAAATGCTCCACAATCGAGTGAATTATTCTTTGGGCCCTTTCTCGCTGAACTCTTACTAATCTATGTTGGTTTTTTCTAGGAACTTAAGTTAAATGGTATGTTTGGGATCAAGAAAATAAATCAATATATGTTTTAATAAATTATAGGTTTCCAAACATTATAAAAAAAAAAAAACTAAAACACATAGTGTGTCTACTGTTGAAAATCATTGGTCATTCTCTCACACGTCACAGGTTATTACATTGATTGAATGACATTTTTGTGATTTATACTAATGGCATTTTAGTAATTTTGAAGATTTTATGCAAATTTTTGCTAATATTGCATTTTCATCTCTAATTTTACGAGCCACATTTGTTTCGATTCGGAACTTCAAATGTATCAAAATTAAGTCCTTGGTTGTTGGGAAGAGAGAGAAACTACGATAGAGATAGCATGAGAGCAAAACTAACGGTGAGGATGATTCTTACCGGTTTGGCTCTCAATCTTGGATTCAATTGTTCTTGTTGAAGAGTATAGTTTCTCTATATCGGTCAAAAGTCATGAAATAATTGAAAAAGTTAGATCAAAATCTTAAAATATTTGATATTTTTTGAATTTGATGTGCATTAAAATGAATTTTAAATTTTTAAACAAGTTTATTAACCTCATTTTATGATTTTGAGGTTGTTTTTGCAAAAAAATGACGCTGGCTTTGGGGTGGAGGGGCTGAAAACTCAAAATCTGATTTTTGGACAAACTTGAGTTTGTTGAAAATCGCAAATGGAGGATTCGTTTTCTGCTACACAACGAGCCAATAACGTATCATTCTTTTTATTATTATTATTTCTTTTGTTTTTAAAGAGTTTGTTTTGTGCGGGCTTGGTTCTCTCTAGGCCCAAACCCTCAGGCCTAGTTCTCCAAACCCAAATGCATAGGCCTGCATCCTACCTTTTTCTTTTTAGTAATTTATTTTAATATCTTTTTATAATGGATTTTGGATGAAAATGATCGAAAATTGATTTTTTTTTTTTTTAAGGACGCTCACATTGAAGAATATATTATATTTTTTTATTTTTTTGCAAGTTCTTACAATTATTTGTACTTTTTTTTCAATACATTAAACTTATAAAAAAACACCAAGGCTTTTTTTTTGTATTAATTATTATTATTATTATTATTATTATAAGTTTTTAATTAAAAATCCATGAAAAAAATATAATATAATCTTTTTGGTAGAAAAATTATGAAAAATATAAGAAATAATTAATAAAATACAAAATTTTGATCAAAGAATTATAAAATCGAATTAATTTTTTTTATATATATATATATTTGATTTCATATGTTTTGACGGAATCACATTACGACACGGTCTATTAAATTAAAATAATTTTTTAAATAATTTAATTATTTTATTCTACCGCAGCATAGCAGGCCTAGAGTAGGTCATAATTGCATTGAAAACCCCATGGAGTAAAGAAAATTTACCCTAAACAATTTCATGAACCCGAGAGCATTAGTGTCTGCAACTTCTTTTGCAGATACATACACGCATGCATTTCCACGGGACATAGCTGCAACAAATGCATGAAATGTATATATGTTTTTCTTACAGTACTGATATATATATATATATATATATATATATACTACTTCTTAAAATACGGAACACTAAAGCTTTGCTTACTTCTTTATCACCGTCTATGCTAGCTATTTATACATGCTTCATTTCTGCTTTTTGTAATAATATTGTCTAAAAGCTAGCAGCTCGAGAGCAAAATTAGGAATCCCTGATCATCACCAGAACATGGAAGGTATATATCTCCCCTAATTTCTCTTTGTCAACTAGTATAAAATTTGTAGTAATGTTTGAGCTGTGTCCTTAATTTTTATCTTGTCATTGTCATTTCTTACATGTGCACACAAATATATATATATATATATATACTCCTCAGGAATCTTCTCCTAAGTATTGACATGATCAAAATCACAAACAAGCTATGTTTAGCATAGATAATATTGTTGCAATGATATGGATTAGTTTGTCTCGAATTTGAAAAATATTTTATCCACTAAAAATTGTGGTAAGAAAAATATTTATGATTCATCAAATTAAGAATTCAATTTTCTATTTCTTTTGTGTGATATTAGACATGACTGTTGATGGATTTAAAGAATTTAATTTTTAAAATCGATTAAATACTAAGCGTGATATGATGTTGAACTAGTCTAAAAAGTAGCAAATTTTGTTTTGGTTAACATAAAATTGAGAACAAAATACCTCAATAAGAATAGACATAAAAAATATATATCTACTAACTGTGGCAGCATAGACATGAAATAAGTTGGGAGAAAAGGCTATGAAAATAAGCAAAAAAGACCAATAAGTATATATAGTTTTGGGGTCTATGGTATAATATTGTCGTACGTGTCGTCAGATTTCTGACTTAAAAAATTATATCCTTCTGATTTTTCTTCGATTAATTCTGAAATATGCTATGCATGCATGAACATATATAATTATCAAAATTTTTAGATTAAGAAAGAAAAGGATCGAAATCCTCAATTTGGTCGACCTGTGATTTCAATTCTTCTGCTCTCTCTTTGAAACTTAAGAAAATTAATTATAGCTGTGGTAAATAATTCATTGACAAGTTGTCATCCCATGGCATTGTTAAAGATGGAGAGTTGTGTAATTAATAACATCTGTCACGATCCATTGTATCAATAGTAAAAATCAGATTATTATAATTATAAGATGGTAATCCAATAATAAGTAAATATTGATTTGTAAATCAGATTTAGCTTTCGATTTTTATGATCAATGCTTGTGAAAATTTATTTTTAAAATATTTAAAAGTCATTAAGGAATTTTTTTTAGTTATGAATAAGGAGTGATTAGTCTTGACGTATGTAAAATCTAATCTGAAAACACATTTATTGTTAGAAAAAAAAAAAAAGAAAAGAAATCAGGCTATTATTCTTGTAGCTGTTAGTTTGGTTCCACCCTCTTCATATTTGGGGTCATGACACAGGAGCAATCTTAACTACCACGTACTACAAAACTTGAATTTATGGGATTCTTTCACATATAGTTTAGTGTCAGTCCCTCATACTCTTTTTGCCTGCTGTTTCATCGAAAGCTTCCCTCCGCATGAAGTTTGCCAATAAATGTCAATTAACTGTTTTTTTTTGGATCATATATAGCATTAACCTACCTACCTGCTCTTGTTCCATATTTTGTGGTGTTGTTATGAAATTAATATTAAATATTCTTAATTGTTGTCCTTTTTGCCATTTCATATAAATCCTCCATGTTATCAGCGTACCTTGCTTCAATTCTCTTACGATTTGTTAAATTTATAAATAGACAGAAGACATTATAAACACAAATTCCAGCAAGCTAGGAACAATCTCTTGAAATGGCACGTAATGAGCCGATTTTTTCAATTAAAATATAGGAACTAACCTTGCTAGGTGGATAGTGCATGGGACTGGGACTGATTGATTTTGATTGATTCCATTCCATGACAAGAAAAAAAAAAAAAAAAAAAACTAATGTCTTTTTTCAATAATACCTCGCAATTTAAGGTTGCCCACAATAGGAAGTAAATTGTAGCGTGTGGTTAATGTATTGTTATTGCTTGGTAACCAAGTTTGTCCGAATCTTAAATATGTCATAAAATCTTCTACTGTTTGACAACTGTTTTCAAGCTTTCTTTCCAAGGATCTGTCCCCCTTCCACTTTGATTGCCTGATTATTACAGCACTAGCAGGTTAGAAGAAAGATTAAAAAATATTGGGCTTAAACCCAAAAATAATAAAGGAAAACTTATAATTCCCTGACGACTCTCATTTCTTTTTCTTTTTTGCTTTTGGCTTCATTTCATTTCTTTTTCGTTTTTTCATTCCTATTCCATGGCTAATTAAACAGTGAAAGTTAAAAGAGAAGGCATACGAAAAAGCCGGTGATGTTGGTGCATATAAAAAGTTAAAAAGGTTAATAGATAACGTAGGCCATCAGTCATGACATCCGGGAAATGCAAATCAAATCACCCCTTTTATCTCTAATCAACAGTCCCATGCCTCACGTTTTATTTTCTTCTTTTGCAACTTCATTTCCAAGCCAATCAAGATTCCTAAATGGGTGCCTGTGGCTTGGTCCATTGAAACATTCCTTCACCGCCAATCCATGGCTAACACGTATCCCATTAGCGTGCTTTGTATGCAAGAAGCTGTGACCTTGAAAGCCAGCATCTTCTGCGAGAAGTTGTGACCATTTTCTGGTCACACAGCCGAACAAAATCCAGGTCAAGGACGGGTTAGGGGTCCCCACCTAAAGACCACCCGTCAAACACCGATCTCTTGCTTTAACCGATGGCTAAAAAGCTAACATCATGATTTTTATTTACATATTAAGTGATTAGCAAGACCCATTAATTGTGCCTGAAAATACCCTAACAATTGTTCCCAAAATGAAGGTTTTTTTTTCTTGTTTAGGATAATCTTGAACTTAATTATAACTCAATGAATGTCTGTAAAATCATTAGTCAAACCCAAAAAGAAAGGAACTCCTATCTCCATATCCGGAGCTACACTGTCCGAAATCATTTCCAAGTACTGACTGCTTTATTCCTTTCTTGGCAATTGGCAGCCCTCACACACATAGCATTACACACCAAAACCATTCTTGTTCTTGAAAAGCTAGAATTCCTATGCAGCCCAACACAGTATCCAAATAATTTAGTGTCTTGTCCTTGTCTCTCATTAAAAAATTTGCTGTAATTAAGCAATATCAAGAAAAACTTGAAAAGACTGAAAAAAAATGTTGGAAATCCAAGAAAAGGTGACAAAAACCTGAATGTTTTTCATAATATTATATTTGCATGCATGTAAAGAGAATGAGATTACTGTACAAAGTATCTGTCTATTTTCAAAATCTTTTATTCTATTTTTTTTGGATTAATAATAAGTGAAAAAGAGAGAAGCTTATGCGCAAAGATATATATTCTTTTCTCTCTCTCTCTCTCGCTTTTTATATATATCTAGCTCCAAATTTAATTTTCTCTCCAAAGTAAAGAAGCAAGGCATCTTCTTGTTGGCTCTTACACACCACCACATTGTTCTTGCTTTCCCTTGTAAGTATCAACCTTTCCTTCCCTTAGAATTTAGCTGCTTCTTTTGTGTGTTCATATTTTAAAAACAATAAGTTTGCATTTTATCTTTCTCTGCAAGAACCCACCTAAAGTTTGGAATCTGTGATCAGTTTAAGGCATTAATGAGATCAATATCAAAATGGGATTTTAAAATTTTTCAACTCCCCCATCGAGCCAAATCTTCTCTGGTTGTGGTGATGTTGATATATATATATATATATAACCACCCATAACTAATAGGAACTCTTCTCATCCTTCTCTTAAATGTGGTCTATTTATGGAATATATAAACTCTGCTTGGCTTTCAAGTTTTAATACGATTTCAAGAATATTTGTGTGTTTTGAATGCGGATTTGAGCATTTCAGCTAACTGTTCCACCAATTTATTCTTCTCACTTTTTATGTTCATAGAATTGTAGTTCTGATATTGTGTGCGTTACAGATAATAACTCATAACTTTAATTTCTCAGAACTGTTGAAATCATACCAATATCCTTTCTTTTTAATCAGATTTCCATTTCTTCAGCATTCTAATCATTCTTTGTTTGATCACTTGAGTGTCTATCTCATTTCATTCGACTTCCAACTGTCCAAATTCAACTTCATTCCATTCCTCCATAAGGGAGTTCGAAAAAAATATCATCTTCTACATCAAATCATATATAGTTAGAGAACATTCAGAGAAATATAGAAGTGACAGAATGAGTTTGATAACAGGATCCCCCAAAGATACCTGGCAACCAGTCATGACTGCCAATACAACAATTGCCAGTTACTGGCTAAACTGGAGGTTCTTTATCTGTGCCATTTGGGTCTTAATCTTGATGACTATTGCATCAACTTTCATTTGGAAAAATGAACGTCGTTGCGAAATCGAACGTGATGGTGGAGAGAACAAGCAAGAAGCAGAAGCATCTTTGTATGATGATGAAACTTGGAGGCCATGCCTTAAAGGACTCCACCCTGCCTGGTTGCTAGCTTTCAGACTTTTTGCTTTCTTTGTGCTGTCGTTGCTGCTCATTGTTGCTGTATTTGTGGATGGAGGCAGCATATTTTACTACTATACCCAGTAAGCTGTCCTTTTTCTTTAGTTCATCTCTTGCTTTGGATGAATTTCATACTTTGATGCAATGAGAAGAATGTTTAGTTCTCTCTCTATATATAGATATTTGCATTTTAATTAGGATTTTCTTGTTTATGTTATCTTTCCGTTCTATTTGTGAGAAAGGAAGGAATGATTTTTCTTTCTTCAAAGAATTTTCTATTTGTAGCACAATGCACATTAGAAACATTAAGGAAGATTTCTGTCAGCTTCATTTATGCCGTGCCAGATCAAGATATCCCAGTTAATTGATCATTTGAGTTATTGATTTCACCAATTATTTTCAATGTTATTGATTGGTGATGTTTCTTGGTCCTGATCAGGTGGACTTTTACTTCAGTCACAATTTATTTTGGGGTGAGTTTTATGTCATGAAAGTGCCTTCTCTCAAATTGTTTTAGAGTGCCTAATCGTCTCATTCTTTCCCATGTTTTCTATTTGCTTAATGATAATCTCAAATTTTATATGTAGCTTGGCTCCTTACTCTCCATAAGGGGATGCTACCAATATCACAAAAGGGTTGGTGGTGACAAGGTTGGTAATGTAGAGGCAGATGCAGAGCAAGGAATTTGTGTAACTCCAGCAGTTGGGCGAAGTTCTAATACTTCCACGGCAATGAAGAGCACAAACTCCCACGAAAGACTTGATGTTCGCCAATCCGCAGGGAAATGGGCTTTCATCTTTCAAATCATTTTTCAGGTAACTTTGTCTGATAATCAGTACTGAGCGGAGGCAAATTTCTTGTGCTTTTATGTTTTATTTTCATTCAGAAACTCTGAAGATCACCTTTCTACATCTAGGATTACAACATAGTCTGACTGCGCGTGCAGGCACAGGAACTTGAAAGTTCTAATATGCATGCTCTTTCAGTTTACTGTGTCATGAAAGTTCAATTTTCAATCCCATTAAAGGTAGTTCCTTGTTAGGATTGGGGCCTCAACCTTTCATCTGTTAATAATTAAATTAAGAGGTCCATGCCAAGAAACAGGAGGTGAGAAAAGGGTTATTTCGCTAAGGAACTACTATTCAGTCTCTTCGTTAACGCTCATATTTGATTTTGGAAAGTTCAGTTGGGAACCAGATGAAGGCATTAAATGAAGTGGACATAAAAGTTGTTTGACCGTGCTTTTATAGCACGTTTACTTTTATTTTGCATGCATATGCTTTATATGGATTCGTTTATTTGAATAGGGTAAGCTGTTAACAGTTGGCTTTCATGGAAATAGATGAATGCAGGGGCTGTTATGCTCACAGACTGTGTCTTTTGGTTCATCATTGTCCCGTTTCTTGCAATCAAAGATTACCACCTAAATCCTGTAAGTTATCATTACTGCTCCAAGTTGTGTTAATTTTAGAAGTAAAACGAAAACCATATAATGCACTTAGCCATGAAGGTCACACACGTTCTCATATGGGCATCTCAGTCACAGTTTTAAATCTCCGATATTTAAAAAACGGTCGCGGTCATTATCGCGAATCACGACTTATTATAATACTAAAATAACGATAACGATATGCTTCAAAACCGTTATATAACGTAACAGACGTTATTTAAAACTATATTCTCATTAGAAAAAAGATGAACAGCAATCCAGTGTTTAGTGACTAATTTGCTCCTTTTTCTCGGTTTTCTAAACAATGCATTGTTCTCTTTTTCATGACAGTTGATTATCAGCATGCACTCACTCAATGCTGTTTTCCTACTTGGTGATACTGCTTTAAATTGCTTGGTAAGCTGGCTTGGCTCGAACCACATATCATTTCCATCTCCTTCAATGAAATTATTTACATTTTTTTTCCTTCAGAGGTTTCCTTGGTTCCGGATCGCGTATTTCTTCATTTGGACAATAGTATATGTCCTATTCCAGTGGATTGTCCATGCCGCTCTCAGAATCTGGTAAAAATCATTTCCTGTTCTCTTTCGATGATGAAATCAAGTTCTACTATCATTGTCTTCTTACAGTAGTGTTCTGTTATTGTCTAAACTCTAAACAGGTGGCCATATCCATTCCTTGACTTGTCATCTCCATATGCTCCATTATGGTACTGACCCTTAAACATCACCCCTTCAATTCTGCTATAATTAACTTATGTAAAAATTTAGCGCAGAACAATATCAACACATTGCTTAAATTTGTGATATAACTTTACAACCTTGGCTTTCTGTCAAGAATTATGTCCACCAAGCATTTATTTGTAATGTCTAGCTACGCTATAAAGAATCAAATGCTAATGCATTTCTTTTATCTGAAATGGAACTATTTGTAGGTACTTCTCGGTGGCAGTGATGCACTTCCCCTGCTATGGTGTTTTCGCTGTTATTTTAAAGCTGAAACACGCAGCGCTTTCGAGATGGTTCCCGGAGTCCTATCAATGTCTGAGGTAGCTGGAGTTGAAAACTTAGGGAGCCAACACAGTTTGAAAGAGAATGTGAATTTCTGTTTAGTAAGTTATGGTAGCAGAATAGAAATGAACAAAAGACCAGAGGTAGCATAAGAGACTGATGACATCCTAGACTTGACAAATCATTCATTTAGTAAGTTTTGGAAGATTAAAAAATGATCAAACAAGAAAAGCAATATTCTTAATTTGTGTAGCCATTGTTGGAGGAGTGGCAGATAAAAAAAAAAAAAAGTTGTAAGTACACACTGACTGATACTGGGAGAGATTAAAAGAGAAATTCTTATTCTCTCATCTCTACTTTCAATTCTGATCTTATTTTTTCGTACTTACTTATTGTCTGTCTTCAAGTTCATTGTCTCCAATATTTTGGTGCGATGCCACCAACCTAAGTTGCTCCTGCCCATTAACTTATTCTCAGACATGATTCCAACAGTGCCCAAAACATGATTACGGAGCATATATAATCTTTTATTCGAGACAGTGGCTGAAATGGCACGCAAACAAGTATTGTTACCTTGCAAAATGAGATGGCTATTACTTTACTGAGAAACTAAAACAGGTGGGAGGTTTGAATAGTAATTTTTACTGTTCATTTCTTCGTAAATTATTATTTACTTATTGCAGTTAGGTTTTTTTTCAAATTGTTTCATTTTGATTTCTAAAATTTTAGAATAAAAAATTTAATCTCCTAGTTGATGCACTACATATGCTTTTTTTTTTTCCTTTTCTTTTTTTAATCAATTTATGTTCTTTTTTTTTTTTTTAATTGGGTATTAAAATTTTGAAAAATCAATCGCTATTTTTTTCACACAAACCGACGATTGTATAATATATATGATATTTTTTTAGATTTTAGAATAAATGTAAACTACTCTTATTGTTTAAAATTGATCTTTTTGATTTATTATAAAAATTCTCATGAAGTTAATTTTTATTCTTTTTTTATATAATTTTATTTCTTAATAAATTTGATTTATTTTCTCTATGTATGGATTCAAATAAGTTTTTTTATACCAGTTTTTATTTGTTTGATTCTTATATAATAAAAATTTAAAAATAGAATATATATGTATTTTATTTTCTTATTTTTTATATAATCAAATTTTATTGAAATCAATTTTATAGTTTTTATTGCACTCTATTAATTTTAATATATATTTTACAATTTAATTTTTATATTATTCGTTATTTTATAAATAACTATATATAAATAAAATGTATATATTTTAAAAAATAATCTTCTCATCAATAAAAAAGCTTCATTCATTAATTTCCATACAAGTTTTTATATTAATCGTTGCTTTATTTCTTCGATGCAATGTTAAGAAAAAAACATTAAGATATTTCTTTTTTAAAAATTTTATATTAAAATTTGTTTTTTTATGGGTTTTTATTTAAAAATAAATGCATAAGAAAGAACAAATCATATTTTTTTGACTTCAAAATTTATTCAAAACATAAAAAATATATATATAAAGATACAAAATTTTGGTTAAAAATTATAAAATTACATGAAATTTTATCTTTTGTATTTAATTTAATATATTTTAATTAATCGATAAAATAGTATATGTTATCAAACTAAAATAGATATATTTGGTTTGGTCCGCAACGTAACGTGAGAATCCGAACTCGTTCATATGCCTAAAATTCTTATTTACTTATTGTTCATATACATAAAATTATTATTTACTTAATGACAATTTAAGTAATTTTGTGTGTTTTTGGGTATTAATATACAAATTTAACACTTTTTTTCTATTTTCATCCCTCATGTCGTAATTTTTTTTTCAATCCTTAATTTCCATTTTTCTTTTGCTTTCATACACGCACATACAATATCTTTTTATATTTTAAAATTAACATATACTTCCCATTATATTACTCTTATTATTTAAATTTTATTCTTTGAATTTATCATTTTTTTATGAAAATTCTCATCCAATTAATATTTTTTTTGTTTAAAATTTTATTTACTGATAAATATAATTTGTTTTTCTCTATGTTTGAATTTTAGAATTAAATTTTAAGACATGATTGTTTTTTATGTTTTTAAAAAATAAATTGGTATAATATATATAATGAATTCTTAGAATTTTTAAATAATAGTTGCATATATATATAAGTGTATTTTAAATAATTTGTCTCAATTCACTAGATATGGTCAAAACATACTAAAAACCTATTATATATATATATATATATATATATATATATATATATATATATACATATAAACACACACACACACACACACTATCTTTTTATATTTTAAAATTAACATATACTTCAACTTATATTACTCTTATTATTTAAATTTCATTCTTTGAATTTATCATTTTTTTTATGAAAATTCTCATCCAATTAATATTTTTTATTTACTCATAAATATAATTTATTTTTCTCTATGTTTGAATTTTAGAATTAAATTTTAAGGCATAATTTTTTTTCTTTTTTTTTTTAGGGTTCCATCAAATCATCCATTGAGAAAGATTTATTTCTTTCTAATCCTTTTCCTTTCTTTATATAATCACTGTGACTTTTTTTTTTTTTCCTTCTGCCTCCCTCTAAAAAAAAAAAAACATTGGTTATAGAAGCATACTGAAAGATGGAGCCACGTGTTTGCCACGTCGATGCCACATTTTTGCCATATTTGGTTATAGAGTCTACATGATAGTAATACTAGTGTGTATGTATATATATATATCTATGTGTCTTAAGTAAGTGAAGGAAGAAACCCTAAAACTTAGCGACCACTCACCAAACTCCTCCTTTTCTCTCAAATATTAATCTTCTCTAATCACTTATTATTATTTTTTTAATATGCCCATATATGTTTATATACTACTCAAAGTCTTCTATATCCTTATATAATACTCAAAGTCTTTCATCCGTATTTAAATTTTTAATTACGTCTTATTTGTTTTGAAAAATTTTAACATGTTCAACCTATTTTTTTTTATCTATTTTTTTTTTATCGAAGTGTCTTTTACTAAAACTCAAAAAAAAAAAAAAAAACTTAAAGTCATATGATCTACATGTTCTATTTTTGAAGTTTCTAAAATTTAATTTAATTAATTTATTTATTGATTTCAATTAGGTTTATTTCGATTGAATATATATATATATATATATATATGATCAAAAAATTTTATTAAAATGACAGATTAAATATTTTAAATATTTTCAGAAATAAATGGGATACGATTAAAAATTTAAAAAAATATGAGAGACTTTAGTTATTATACAAGGACAAATTGATATATTTACTTTTTTTTCCTCTTTCACAAACAATTAACTATAAACTAAAACACATGGAGAGTTCACTATTCATTTGAACCGTAAACTCCCACCACTCGTCCATTTGAACAGTTGGTTTTTTTTTTTTTTCACTCTTAGTTTTTTTCTTTTTTTCTTAGTTCTTATTTAATTTTTACATTATTTCTTTTTTTTTTGGTTCTAATTTTCACCCTTAGTTTTTTAATTATTTTATTTTAATCCCAAAAAATTTTAAAATAAAAATTTTAATCCCTATCCGATGCACTATATGTCTTTTTTTTTTGGGCTTTTTTTATCAATTTATATTTTTTTTTATTTAATTGAGTGTTAATTTTTTTAAAAAAATTGATCGTTATTTTTTCATACAAGTCGATGATTATATAATATATATAGATCAAATATATATAATTTAAAAATCACCCCATCACAATGTACTCTTCACTCCTTTTTTTTTTAACCATCACAATGTACTATTCACTTTTATCTTTTTTTTTTTTTTAAATTTTCACTCTTAGGTTTTTTCTTACATTTTTACTATGATTTTCAAATTATTTCATATTGATCCCTAAATTTTTAAAATAAAAATTTTAATCCCTATCCGATGCACTACATGTCTTTTTTTTCTTTACCTTTTTCCATCAATTTATGTTTTTTTATTTAATAGGATTTTAAAATTTTTAAAAATCAATAGTTTTTTTTTTTCACATAAACTGACGATTATATAATATATATAGATCATATGTATATACTTTAAAAAAAAGTCTTCTCATCAACATTAAATAAGAATAAAATTTTATTTTGTCATTGATTAATTTTTATACAAGTCCATACATTGATTATAACTTTATTTTTTTCAATATATTCTTATAAATATAATATATTTTTAAAGTTTTTGTTTTTATGGCAATACTTGTTCTCCCCCTCACAATATACTATTCACTCCTTTTTTTTTTTTTTTGGTACCCTCACAATGCATTATTCACTCTTAGGTTTTTTAATTTTTTTTTAAATTTTCACTCTTAGTTTTTTTTTCTTTTTTCTTAGGTTTTTTTTTTTTTGTAATTTTCAAATTATTTCGTTTTGATTCTTGAAATTTTAAAATAAAAATTTTAATCCCTAGCTGATGCAATACATGCTTTTTCTTTTTCTTTTTCTTTGGTTTTTTCTTTGATTTTTTCCATCAATTTATGCTCTTTTTTATTTAATTGGGTGTTAAAATTTTAAAAAATCAATCGTTACTTTTTTTTTTTTCACACAAACTAACAATTATATAATATGTATAGATCAAATATATGTACTTTAAAATAATAATCTTCTCATTAACATTAAATAAAAATAAATTTTTATTTTTTTATTGGTTAATTTTTATGCAAGTCTATACATTAATTGCAACTTTATTTTTTGGATATGTTCTTATAAAACAATATATTTTTAAAGTATTTATTTTTAAATTCTTAATTAATATTTTAGGTTTAAATTATATATTACAAGTTTTATTTAGGAATTCCTAAATAAAGAAAAATAAATAATTTTTTATTAAGCAGAAAATATATGAAAAACAAAAAATAGTAACAATTAAATAAAAAATTATAAAATTTTGAAATAGTTTTGTTCTATTTGCCCGTTGCGTTACATGGATAATTTCAAAAATTAATCTTCTTATCAGCATTAAATAAGTTTTTTTTTCCATTTGTTAGTTTTTATAAAAATATATTTATTAATTATAATTTTATTTTTTTAATGCAATATTATGAAAAATATATTTTTAAAATTTTTTAATTCTTGATTAATATTTTAGTTAAAATAAATCCATAAAGAAGAATGATTTAAGTTTTTTAAAGCAAAAAAAATATAAAAAATTAATTAAATACAAAATTATAATTAAAAAATTTTAAAATAATTTTATTCAACTGGACCCGTAGCGTAACGCGGGTAATTGACTAGTAACATCTAATCTATTTGATTCTCTCCTTCTTTGATTCTTCCTTTGAAGTTCCTACTCAAATCTACAAGTTCTCATTGGATTTATTTTTTAGGTTTTTTTTTCCTTCTGAATCTTACTTTGTAATGAGGAGTTTACTGTTCATCACCATAGCGATTCTGATGCAGCTTGCTTGTGCATTTAAATACCCAAATGTTTTCTTGTTTCTTTGTGTGGTTTTGACATCAAAGTTTCAAAGAATGATTCTTGTCCATTGATGGATTTGTGCTAAAGAATTAAAGATAATCAAGAACTTTATTGCTAGTTGGATCTTTTATCGTTTCAATCTTGTGTTTGTTAAGGGTCACTATCAAGATAATCACCTGGGTCATTTTAAATCGTAAAGAGAAGGTTTTTTTTTTTTTCTCACTTTTCTTTCTTAATGTTGTAATTCAGGAGATAAAGAAGGATATTCTTGTAAATAAGCTTTGGGACAAATGAAGGGATTGTTCATGCGTGAGATAAGGAAGGATTATTCTTGTAAATAGGCTTTAGGACAAATGAAGGGATTGTTCATGCTTGATGAATATTATATTTTAGTTTGCTTGAATTTTTTTATTGAGTTATTTTATGTTAATTTTTCAATGATTTCTTTTTCTAACAAGAAGCATTCAAGGCCAGATGTTATTTTTATCTTTTCCATGAGAATCATTTATTCATTTATTTTTATTTGTTTCATTTAATTTGTTTATGTTGTTTTATTTTTGTTTATTTGAGCTTTGATATGTTGTTTTCTTTTTTACATACACCACTTGTGCATGTTAGCAGCATACAGTTATTAGATCTATACTTGAGCCTCAACCAGGACTAGATAAAGTGTATCTTCGGGTAAGCAAAACTTCTAGCTCAGTAGTATTCATAGGGTCTTTTGCTCAATCGAAGATTGCCCTGTATGTGAGTTCTCTCGTAGGATTTCATATCATCAATGGCTCGATGCATGTAAGGTGGGCTTGAATTTAGGAATGAACACTATTTTATTTAAATCGAACCAAATAAAAAATTTTGATTCGGTTCTTAACTCAATATTTTTTAAAAAGAACCAAATTTACTTCGATTTTTTCAGTTTCGATTCGATTTTCATGAAAAATCATTTTTTTAGAGCATGTTTGAACTTTTGATTGTTATGTAAACTTTGATAGTTTAATTTGCAACATATTTGAACTATCAATAACTTTTTATTATTATAAATTTAGACGTGGATTGGTGGACTTGTATTTAAATTTTGATATTTTTTATATGGTATAGTTTTGTGCTTTAATTTTGTTTAAATAAATATTTATTATCTTTTATGTAAGCCAATTTTGACTATTTGGATCAGAGAAAGAATTTCATAGTCCATAACATAATTTTTTAGGCTTGTTTATATTATTTATTAAAAAAATAAAAAAAATTGGTTTTAACCAAAAAATTGAATTCAAAAATCGAAATTTAGATTTCAAAAACTGAAAAACCAAATAGTAATTTGATTACGGTTTGGTTTGGTTTGTTTTGTGAATTCGATTAACGGAATCGAAATGTTAAAAACCGAATGCTTACCCCTAGTGAGTTACCCCACTAATTACTTGGATAATTTAGGGGTTTTTTCAAAGAATTTTCATTTAACCTTGTCAAAGTTGAACTTAGCGAGCCTAGGGCTTACCTTTTAGGTTTTTCCAAAAATAGGACACGTGAGTCGTGCTCTTTCAAGAACATTTTAGATCTTTTCTAGCCCCATTTTTGCCTTCTCATTTTGATATTGCATGGTGGTGGGTAAACGCGGCACACGCAGGCCACAGACTAGAGCCTTAGAGACGTCAAATATAATAATAAAGTCAGGGTTCATGGGACAAATAGAAGGAAAGTGAGGAAAGATAGGCAACCTCTAGTACCAGGAGTAGGTTGTTCGTTTGGTTTCGAATTATATTGGATGATTTTTAGTTAATCGATTTTTTTTCTTTTTTTAAAATAACTGAAATCGAATTGAAATGTTATTCAATTTTTTTATTCGGTTTTGAAATATTTTGGTTTTAATGTTCGGTAATTCAATTTTTACTTGTTTTATTTTTTTTTACAAATGATTGATTCTATTAAAGTTTCTAAAATCTTTATTTAGAGTGGGTCTCCTTTTGTTTTGTGGACTACTAGCTAAGAAACTAAGTTGTGTGGAAAAAAAAAAAAAGCAAATGCATTGGTAGATAAATAAATAATAAATTGTTTACTCAAGAAGGCTTGAATCGGAGATCATAGAAAATCTACAAACGTCTTTGCTATTTTGCGTACATCTTGACTTGTAACAAAGATAAAGAGTGTACGTACGAAACTGTGAGAGAAAGTGCATCTAAGGGAGAAAGATTTTTTAATTTGGGGATACAAGTAAGTGATCCGACCTAATATATATATATATATTAAAATTTTTGATTTTTTGGTTAGCTGATTTTTTTTTTAAAAAAAATAACTGAACCCAAACTCGAAAACCAAAATTATTTCAATTTTTTTAAAATTTGTAAAAAACCGCACCGAAATATCGGTTCGATTATTCGATTTTCATCGAATAGCGAACACTCTTGACTAGGAGAGAGAGAAATAGTGGTTTTTATAGTAGTTTTAGGATTTTAGATAAAGGAGAGAAAATTGTTACAAGAAAAGTAAAGGTACAAAGTATGGAAGTCAACAAACAAGTATTAGTACATAAAATCTCTCATATATTTTGTACAAGGCTAAACAATAGAAATAAATTATTACAAGAGCAAATCTTAGAAGTACAAAAATTGATTTTTAATGATGTTTGTTGTGTTAAGAAATTCAAGGGTGCGTGGTTAGTGGGAAAAAAAAATTTAAATAATAGTAATAATGGAAGAAAAAGAAATAAAAAATTTTGTTTTTTGTGAATTTTGAGACAAAGAAAAAGATAGAATGAAAAGAAATATAAAGAATTGAGGGATTAAATTTTAACCTCAATGCTTAGAGGGCAAAACCCCCCACCCCCTCATAAGGCTTTTACACCCACACCAAGCATACCCTTAATAATTAACTCCTAAAAATTCAACAAAACATGGTTAAATGATACGAGGGTAAATTTTAACCCCATTGCAAGGGGGAAAAAATGAAGCTAAACTATCACAGAAGTGATCACAACAGGAATAATTTTTACAGTATGTCAAAACTGATATTTAAAGGCTTAAAATGTTAGTGGAAAGTAAGAGAGAATAATTAAATTATTAGGAATAAATTGATTAGTGAGAGATAAATAAAAATTATTTGATGTGTATTAAACATAACCTAAACATCAAAACCTGCTAGAAACCATCAAAACCTCGTATATATATCAAGCAAGAGATTTCATAAATAAGTTAACAGTCCATCATATGAATCGTGTTATATTTACAATGAATGAATCACAAAAACCTCACCCAACCTCAAAATTTTTTATACAACGATATCAGCCACTTCCGCTCCCATGCCAGGCCTCTATACAATCAAGACAGTATACAGTATAAATGTTTTATGCTACAATCACATGTGATTAAAGAGAAGTGCTTGGCAAAGAACCCATTAAAATAATAGTATCATCATCCTTGTAACCCTTCATATTTTTCGGATTTGCCTTCGAAAATAGTCCGGAGAGCAATCCCAAATGCAAAGTAGAGCCCGATCTCCCTCCCAGCGTGAGACCACTGGCCTTACGGCTCAACTTATTAGTAGACTCCATGACCTCATCTGGCCCGAGGTGTGCCCCACATGCGCAATTTGTAAGCTTTCTGAAGCAGGGCTTGTGGAATACTGAATCGCAAGAAGCACACCTTTCAATTTCACCTTCCTGTTTAAGTTATTTTCAGCTGTCAGAACTTATCTATGCCAACTTTTCAGTTATCAACTAACAAGGACCACATAGGGGAGTCATTTTCTGGTGCTTGCCAGCTGAAGGGCTATTCACTAGAGCATGAGATGCATCGCTACCGGGAAATCTTTAATTTTCTTCAATGAAAACATTTATCATGCTAACGTTAAACAAAGCTATTCTATGCTATTATATGAATGCCCACCTGAAAAGGGAAAATGAGTGAAGACGGGTCATTACAAGCTTGTCGGGCACTGCAGGGGACTCCAACATCACAACATATGAGGCATTGCTCTGTTATATGCTCCAGGATTTTCCTTGAAACAGTTTCCACAATCACCGGTAGTGCTGCAATAGAAGTAGAGATGTGTTTAAGATAAGAAAAAAAAGGGTCACGCAATTACAGAGCTCAGATATCTATGTACAACTCCTAAGACACGTCACATGCAATACAAAAGGAAAATTTAAAGTTCGACAAAGAAGCATAAAAGTGATGAAAGGAGATTTAAGTCTTTTTTTTTTAAATTCTACTATGAAAATTACAGTTGCTGGCTTAGCAACTGACTCAAAGCCATCCGAGCATAGTCAATGGTACATAATTATTATTTTATTTGACATGAAAAACAATAGTTGAGGCCTATTTGACTGAAAAAAATTGACAAGAGTGAGATTCCTGTTAAGAGTCAGTTAATGCACCAGCACATGGCAAGTAAAGACTGCCACAACGTTAAAGAAACCGTGGAATAAAAATGATGCCAAACTGTGGAATTAAAAAAAAGAAAAAAGAAAAAACGAACAACTTCACACCGACACAAAAAGGAACATGAAATGGAAAGGCACGTCAAAAGCTAGGAAAAGAAAAAAGAAATGTTTTAGACCAGCCAATTACAAAGAAATGTTCAGATCCAGCTTAACTGCTTGCAAATAAATCAACATAGCATACAGTAGATATTGGAGACTTCTGCACATGTAAACAAGGGCATAGACATAGATGGATTCAAAAAGAAAGCATAGGTTTCAATGAAATATCTTCTCACCAAAATACTAAAATAGCAATTAACTTGTGATTAGATGTTAACCTGCAAAAGCCCCTTTTGAGAGATCAATGAGGTCTCTAAGGGCAAAAAAATCGTTGCTTTCAAGAAGATATCTTCGAGATCCGAGTCCTTTGTTGATGGTCCTGCGGAATGGACATCGAACAAATGGAAGCATAGTTCCAATTTTTTTCCTGACACCCATAACATGGTGTAAGGCTGGGACCTTGGAGAATAGGAAAGGATTTACTGCACTTACACAAAGCATGGGCTGCAAAAGAAAATTCATTAAGGGCATCTGGCAAGAACTTAGACAAGAACTCTGCATTAAATTGAACTATAATATGAATCTAAACTACTTGAAGTGGTAAAGCATCAATGACACATGCATGTGTTATCATCGAAATGAAGAATTTAAACAAGAACTAGAAATTAGATTGAACCTTGCAGCATATAGGCATGTAACAGACACCCCGGAATGGAGTTGGCAGCCATGCTCATTATTTTTGCAAGCATCTTAAAGCTTACCAAATATGACCAGGGACAGTTGGACTTTCTATCATCAGTTAAAAATCAACTTTTGGCCCATTACTTTTATGAAAGCAAGCACAAATTGTGCTTAGCAAACTTATTCCTTTCGTGGTTTTGTGTCAACCATTTCACTATCCCTTGATTTTGACAATTTCATACAACCTAGAAGCATCCAGTTACGAAGCGATTGTACAAATCACAACAGAAGGCCACGTGTCAAATTACCTGCTCATGGATGGAATCCAGGTATGACTTGGCCAATTGAGAAACTGGGTATTGAGTAAAATCCCAATAATGTAGAACTCTTGCTGGCAAAACTGCAGTCTCATTTGTATGGCATGAAGAACAAAATAATTGACCAGTGTATTCGCAAAGTCGAGGCTTTCCCCACCCAAGTGTCTGTACAAAGTCCCGCATCAATGTCATCCCATCATCAAAATGCTTGTGGCATCCGGCACAAGTATAATGTTGTGCTTCTAGCATCTGTTTAGTAGATTTGTATGGCCGAATTTCAACAATAAGTGATATTGTCTTCCCTAAAGTGGAAACATTTCCTTCAACTGCCCCTCTGTTAGAAAATATAGACTGAGGAACTGGTGTTCTTGCTGCAGGGGAACTAGGAAATGAATCTTGAGGACATAAGAACCAAACCAGTGCACTTGGGGGACTGGAAAAGAACCCAGAATGGATAGTTGAATGTAAACACTCTTGAATAAGAACACTCCTCTCAGAAACAACATCTGGAGATGCATTCCCGAATATTTTTCTAGATTCCTTTTCCACAGAGGACCAAGGAGAAGGAAGCGTCCAGCCCTGGTCAGCAAATAATGATTTCAGCCTACGATAGAGTGTATGGAAATCACGATACCTGCGTTCAACCTCCCACTGGTCTTTGCCACTCCATACCCTTATTATATATGCAGTATATTCCTTCACTCCAACCAACCTTTCGCTAAGGGAGACATCTCCCTTCTTCTGCTTTACACCTACCACTTCAACCCCATCGATTCTCTGTGGCTGTGTAATTAGTGGGTAAGCCTCATCAGTACCAGAAGTAGAAGCAGTTGACCCACCATCCCTTAGAGGCATTGACTGAAACATGCGAGTGCCCTGAGGAAACCTAGCCCCTGGAGACTCGCCAGAGTCAAGTAAAATCTCTTCCATTTCATTGACAATCTCATCATAAAATTCAATAAGCTCAAAATTCTCTGCCTGCCAAGAAAATCCAGGAAACAGATAGGAATATAAACAGCTTAACAAGTAACTTGAGAGTCACGATGGAAATAAATGCCCAGCAATCAAAGGTGGCTAACCATTAGGAAAACATAGAAGGTATACTTTTCAACAGGTGGTTGCTGTATTGCTTAAAACTCTTCCAAACACATGCACCAACATATCGAAAACTATAAATATTCCACAATCACCAAAATAATGCTATTTACTTAAAATTTGAAAGAAATACAAATTATATGCATTATCATGCATGTCAAAAGCAAATGATGCTTTATCAGAGTTGTTTCCCATTGGAGCTAAGCAAACATACTCATATGCAAGCAAGCACTCTGGCAGAAAGTTTGATAGTATAAGCAGAAAGTTTGATATATAGCTTAAAACATAGCCATGCTCCTAAATACAAATAAGCCAGATTCCAGAACTGAGTTTTGATACAAAAACAAACATGTCAAACATGTTACTTAAAACATTGCATGCAAATGCAAGTAAGAGTGTTGAAAGCATTTGTAACTTCCCATTTCCATCCTTGAAAGGTTCTTTTCTATGTGCTAATATATGATGACAAAACATCCAAAGTAACAAAACATCTAAAAGCACATCTACAAATTGGTTTTATAGTTCATAAACTTAGGACAGTTGTAGAAGTATCATTAGTAAGATACAGACCTTAACCACCGCAGAATGGTCCTCATAAACAACCACAGAACCAGGAGCATTTTCTGATGCTTTCTTCATGTTATTTTCAAGCATTGGCACAGTTGAATTTAGTTTTTGGACCACAAGAGATTCTTCCCTTGCATTTTCTGAATATTCAGCTGGGCAGGAACAAAGTTGGTTGGTTGTATCAGAAAGGGGGTCTGCCTCTACTTCAGAATTCCCAGCCTCTTCATTTGCCAAAGATCTGTTGTCATCAGTGCAAACAACTTCCTCAGATTTCACAGATGGATACAAACCTTCCATGTGGTAATCTGTAAAATTCAACCCTAATCCTATGAGACTTTTTTCTACCAGACGTTCCTGCTCCACCTCAATGACATCACTGACAGGACAACTATTATAAAGCTCTGCTGTCTGATTAGCACCTTGGACTTGATTGCAGTTAAAAGAAATGTCTCTAAAATCTTCTTGCTGTGCTTCGCAATGGCCTGGAAAACCAAATGGCATGATTGAGGTACTTTTATCAACTTCGGTCAATTCATGAGCACCTTGTGCCTGACGACTGGCTACAGGAATGTCTCTCGTATCTTCCACTTGATCCACAACAGAATTCCGTACACCAAAAGGGACCTCAGTACCAGAATTGAGCTTCTCTCCAAAACCATCACCTACACTGTCTCCAATGCCAGCATGTTCCTCTATCACATCTTTCCCTATTTCTGTTTCACCAACAACCGGTGCCACAGTCAAGGCCACAAAAGTAGAACTAGAAACCTTTCCATCAGTCTCCCGACCGTGATCATGCTGCTGAAATTTATCCAAGGTCAAAGAAGCTCCAATGCCTCCCCTGGTTTCTAGCTCAAAATCATCCCAGTCATCGGACCCAAAAGCCACAGATGAACTCATATTCAACGGATTCTCATCACTGACTTTCCCTTCCTCGCCAAGCAACTCATTCCTCCGAAAATACAAATTCTTCCTATTCTCATCATCCGAACCACACCCATACATTGAATCATCATCTTCTGAATATCCATATCTAGACGAACCCCCGTCCTCCCCTCCCTCCACTTCCCCTCCATCAAACCCCAAGCCTGCCTCCACATCCAACCGACTAAAACATCCGTCATTCTCTCCACTACCGACCCCACCCAAGTCCCCATTCCCAGTTCCCAAATGAACACTCTCCCGTCTGCTGTACGATTCATTACCGAATCCACTACTTTCTCCACAAGTTTCCAACCCACCAATCCCATTCTCTTCAAAACTGCCATCTAAACTACCAATACCTAAATTCGAAAGCTTGTGATCCTCTAAGTTCCTATTATCATCAAACCCAAAATGGAAACTTTTCGGCCCCAAGCTAAAATTATCCAAACTTTTTAAAGACCCAATATCAGATTCTATACAATCATTAAAAGAAGCTCCAAATGAACTACTACAAATACTAGGAGTGCCCATAACTGAATTGGCGCTACAGTACCGCTCGAACTCAGATTCTCCACAAGAGGAATACTGCGATGGCGATGCATCACCACCGTCCGATTTGACAGAATCGAGCGGATCAGCAGAGGTGGGCCCCGAGATGGTGTCGTGGGTCCCCTCTTCATTATCAATCATCTGATTATTATTGTTGTAGTTGATATAATCGTCAGGTTTTGTGCTTTGATGGTTGAAAAGTTGATCAGAAGAAATGGAAGTGACGTGTGGAATTGGTTTAAGATTGTGAGAGGGATCGTTGCTGACCTGATAGAAGAGCGAAGCGTACAGAATGAATTGAGGCTGGAGGCTGGAATTGCTGAGAGGTTTGAGAGCAGAGGCGCTTTTGGGCTGGACAGAGGCAGAGAGAGAGGAAGAGAGACAAAATAAGATTTTGCAACGTTTGTGATTCTTACTATTTTGTTTTGATTATCTAACTGTCTTTTATTTTTTATTTTACTCAAAAAATAAAAAATAAATAGCTCCCCAGTCCTAGATTTGCAAAAAACTCATTGTGGTTATTACTAGCCTCAGATGTATTTTTCTAAGAAGCAAAATAATTTTTATTTTTATTTTAACTTTATAAATAGCGTTTGATTAAACTTTCGAAATCATACTATTCAAACCTTATTTTTAAAACGAAACAAAATATCTGAATGCAATAATTTTTATATATTAGATTACTATAGAGAGAAATACTTGAAATAAAAAGGATTACATGATAAAAAAAATGATGTCACATGAAATTAAATGGTGACGAAAGTCAACGCAGTTTAAGCTAACAACAATATAAATTATTTTTTGTCTTGTGATGTCTTAGTAAGAGGAAAGGCCAGTTTGGAAATCATGCAGGATTTTTTTTTTTTAAAATGAGCGTGAATACAAGAACTCAAACCAATCAAAAGATTTGGTCCCTTTTTGTTTATTTAAATCAAAATGAATTGAATTTATTTTTTAATTTCGATTTTTTTTTGTTTTTTCAATCAAAAAACCAAATAGCATGCATATATATATATAGTTCAACTTTTAATTTATTTTTTTTCATTTTTTAGTTGATTGCTATAAATTTTATATTTCTAATTTATGGGTTATATTATTTGAATTAAATGTTTGTTACTATTTTATAAAATGATTGAAACTTTGAAACAATATTCTTACTTTTTTTAAAAAAAATATTTATAAAAAATTAAAAATAAAATTTTTAACGTATCAAATAAAAACATAGGATCTAACTAATAAAAAAAAGAATCAAGAATTATAAAATTATTTTTTATATTAATAAAAGTTGAAAAAATGAATAATATTTTGGTTCGGATTCAGTTTTGATAGGTTTTAGTTAATTGAAAATCAAACCAAATTTATGGAAACTGAAACCAAACCTACTAAACCTGTTTTGTGACATGATACAATTGATAATTTTCTAATAGTTTAGGAGTTAATTTGAAGTTTTTCTTTGTTTTTAAGGGCTCTTTTTTACTGACCGAATTTCCACTTATTGGCGCTCACAGCCCTACCTCCAAAACCTGAAACCCTAAACCCCCACAAAACACATCCTGAGACACAGGAACCGAGCACATCCAGCCATGGCAATACCAAGCGAAGCAGCTGCAGCAGCATCAGCTGGCATGGAAGCCTTAAACAGCCTAAAATCCTCTGACCCATCATTATGGCTAGCACCATCTCCCTCTCTGTCTCAAACAGCACGCACGGCTTGTAAACATCTCTTCTCGTCAATAAATCCCCATGTCCCTAAATCGCCCTTTGATCAACTTCTTATTGATGGGTTTGATGCAGAACAGATTTGGCAGCAAATTGACTTACAATCACAGCCGTTGTTGTCCAGTTTACGCCGTCAAGTTTTGCATTTTGAAAAGAATCCAGAGGAAATTAGAGTGATTGGTGAGAAGGTTTTACAAGGGAGAAAGAAGGGTCTGGAAGACAAGGAGGTGAAAAAAATTGATGGGGTTGGTAATGGTTACCATGATGATTTGGATACGTATGAAATTGATGATGAAGATGACGGTGATGATGATGATGATGATGATGAGGATGAGGGAAGTGAAGAGGAAGAGAGCGAAGAGGAGGGAGAAAAGGGAGAGAAGGGAGTGATAGAAGATAAGTTTTTGAAGATAAAAGAATTGGAAGATTTTTTGGAGGAGGAGGATGCCAAGGAATATGGATTGGATACAAAGAAGAATAATAAGAGAAAGAATTTAAGTGACGAGGAGGATGAAGATGAAGAGGATGATGATAATGGTGAAGAAGAAGGAGAGGAGGATGAAGATGAAGACGAAGGTGACGAGGATGAGGAAGATGATGAGGTAATGTATACCTAAATAGTTAATTAAATTAGATTTATATATGCATGAACATTGTTTATGTGATTATGATCATTTCTTTGGTTTGGGAATTCTTACATATAATTTTGATTTAGGAAAGTGTGAATTATGGTTGGATATACTGTTTGCTGTAACGTAGGTACTATTGGCAAAGTTATAATCAAATTTAGCTTTTATTAGTCTATATTGAGGATCAATCTGGGAATATGCATATTGTAGTTGTGTTTTTTTTTTTTTTTTAAATTTGGGTTAGCATAGATATTTCTTTTTTACATTTTCATTTTTTTTATTGTTCATGTTTTTATACTGATTGGATATCCAATCATACAGCTTGGGGTTTTTGGTAATGGTGATGACGAAGATGAAGATGCAAGCAAGCGTGCCAGGTTCTAATTTTGTTGTATTTATTTGTCTCTCTCTTTTTTTTTTTTTTTTTTTTTGCCCCCTCTGGATGAGGTATTAGTTATAGAATCATAACTGAAGTTACATGGTGATGGTTAAAGCACTTCTTTTCATTTATTTATTTGTTCAAGAAAAATCTCACAGAAACTTAGCAAGGCCACCATTTGCCCTGTTGCTGGCAGCACTTTTGATGAAACTGTTCCTTCAATGGTCATACTGATGTGTATTTCATTTTCTTTTGCTCTTCTAATGGTGTCACTAGCACCTGTCCTCACCATTAGCAAAAGTTTAATATATTTTGTTTAACATTGAATTACTGATTCTTGGTTTCCCTTGTGCATTTCTGATATTCAGATACGAAGACTTCTTTGGTGTTAAAAAAAGAAAAATCTTAAAAAGAAAGTCAAAAGAAGACTCGAGCTCTGATGATGAAGCAGTGGACGAGGTAGTATGATGTGTTTTTAAGTTTACATGCATTCGACAAAGTCTCTGCTGTCTTCCTCATGGTAGTATAATTTATAGTTTCAGAAGTGAATATATGTGAAAATGTAATTGGGTTGTTGTTATTTCCATTCCGCAGAGAAAAGGTAGACTTTCTACCCATGAAAAGCAACTTCAGAAGCTTCAATCTGAGATAGAGCAGATGGAGAAAGCAAATTTGGAGCCCAAAACTTGGACCATGCAAGGAGAGGTAACTTTGGCCTTTCTTTAATGTCTAATTAGAAAATTGAGTGTATAGCTCTGCGCATTGTTATTTTTATGTGTTTCAGGATATGAATCCAATCCTAACCATGTTAAGCTGTGGTTTTAATGTCACATGCTATGGAAATTGCAACAGGTAACTGCTGCAAGCAGACCCAAGAATAGTGCATTAGAAGTTGATTTAGACTTTGAACACAATAAGAGGCCTGCGCCTGTAATCACTGAGGAGGTTACTGCAACACTTGAAGATATGATTAAGAATAGGATCATTGAGGTAAACTGCAAATTTGAATGGATTTCTGAATGAGCTAGCTGTCTTGTCAACACATCACTGTTTGACTTTATTTCAGATGTTTTATCCAATTTTTCTTGCTGTGTGTTGATTGGTTGTAAATGATTTATGATTCCTAAGTCCTGCTCTTATTTTGCATTTGGAAACCGAGAATTTTTTCTCAGTTGTTTCAAGGTAAACTGCAACTATATCTATGTGATGGCTATGTGACAGGCTGATGCACATCAGATACACACGCTCACATGTGCATGCATACTATCCCAAACTTGTGTTGGAGTGACAATAGAGTTGTCTTTGTTGAGGTTCATACACAAGTCCTCTTTTACTGGGAGAACACTGGTTTATATTTCTGTTCTCATCAAGTCTTTGAGATCAGTATGTTTCACGTATGTACTTAGGGAGGGAAATAGTGTAGCAGATTCTTTAGCTAAGGGGAGCCCAGATAGAACTGAATCCTTTCTTGCTTGGTTGTAATCCTATGAACTAAGGTTCTTGTTTCTGTCAGCAACTAGCTGGCTGAGTTTTCTTTTTCTTAATGCTATTATTATTCTTCAATAAAAGTAATAATAAAAAAAACACTGTTTTATATTTGGTTGTTTTTGTTGCTGAGAGTTTGGTGAATAAACATCTGCACTTGTGCCTGGACATATGCATAATTCTTTATTCAAAGCCATGTCATAGTTTCTTCAAATAGTTTGACCAATGTCTCTGAAATTTTCTGGTCTTTTAGATAAACAGTGAACAGTTGTCCAAATACTCATGTTCTTAAAGCTGGCAGATGAATGGGTGATATTATTGGCAGAGCAACTTCCTTCCATGGATTTGGCTTTTCCGGATTGCTATATATGCTGAAAAAAGATTCCTAAATTCTAAGTCAAGCTTTCAGAAAGAAATTTTTACCACTGCACCTGACAATATCGGTTTTCTGCAGTATGTTTTGGGAAATTTTGTGTGTATCTTTTGCCATGATTTTTCTTATTTTTGAATTAATGCTACTAGTTCCTTTGTTCAAATCTTGCTGCTTCTCATTTTGCATCGGACAGTGATTTGATACTATGCTATGTTAGACATTGTTGTCTGTGTGTGTAATTGTGGTTTTTAACAAGAAGAATCTTGCCCTGATGATCTTAGGGACGGTTCGATGACATTCAGAAGGCTCCCAGATTACCCTCTCAAGCACCGAGAGAAATGAAAGAGTTGGTAAGCAATATTGCTGGTAACATAGTTTAGTTTCTATTTTTCCTTGTTATGATATAGTATTAATTCTGCAAGCTGTAATTTTCATAAAATATGCAGGATGACAATAAGAGCAAGAAGGGTCTTGCCGATGTTTATGAGGTTTGTCTACCTTAACCAGCATGCTTTGTCAGGTTTCCAATTCTGTATGCTGGATCCTATACTGTTTGTAATTATGTCTGAGCTTAATTTCTTTCTTCTGTTGTTGAGCTCTTGCATATGTAATCCGAATTTCTCTGTGAATTTTTACAGGAAGAATATGTTCAAAAGACAAATCCAGCTGCTGCTCCATTATCTTTCTCGGATGAACAGAAGAAGGAGGTAGATGTCACGTTGTTATATACATTATTCTTATTTCTCATTTGTTGTTTCTTCATTGCAAATTTTCATATCCTCAACTGGACTCCAGCACATTGCATTTAATATCATCTTTTCTGTGTCCATTGGTTTTTATTACTGTAATCTTGTTACCCTTTTTTCTTAGGCAAGTGTCCTGTTCAAAAAATTGTGCTTGAAGTTGGATGCTCTTTCACACTTCAACTTTGCCCCTAAACCTGTATGCTTCTCAATCTTTAAAATGATGTTTTTTTTTTTTTTTTTTTGCCAATTTCTTTTTTTATAAGAAATTGATTTCTTTTGTGACTTTGATAGGTCATAGAAGACATGTCTATCCAAGCAAATGTCCCTGCTTTTGCTATGGAAGAGGTAAAAACATATCTCCCTATCCCCTCCAGTCTGAGTTTTGTTTGTGACTTGACTTCCTAATACACATTGTCTTCGATGGATAGATTGCACCTATGGCAGTTTCAGATGCAGCCATGCTGGCACCTGAGGAAGTATTTTCTGGGAAAGGTGATATTAAGGAAGAAACAGAACTTACTCAGGCTGAGAGGAAGAGGAGGAGGGCTAACAAGAAAAGAAAATTTAAGGGTGAGATCTGATAAGAAAGTTTAGTATTCTCTCAAAGGCCTCGTATATGTAGTTGATTGCTGCTTTTGGCCTTTACACCATGAAAAGAACGATCAATTTGTTTTTAAAGCATCCAGTAGCAAGCTGCTCAATTCTTGCCATTTTCTCCATCTCATCTAGTTTTTTCCTGAATGTTCGATCTTTCCATTCTTATTTAATATTATTGTGGTGATCACAGCTGAATCAGTGAAAAGGATGGCAAAGAAGGCACGAGAGAACACAACAGTAAACCATGATGATGGTGAATGTTTATCTTAACTGAGTGGTGTCATTATATTTGGAGGTTTAAATGAATCCAATTTGACAGTCCTTAACCTCAAATTTTGATTAAATTGCAGGCAAGGAAGAATAGTGATTTGTTTCCTCTTTATATCCATGCACAAGGAACCCCCTGAACAATTTCAAGTTAGGTTTCAAGTTTAGGACTGCCAATTGGAGAGGAGGAACATGAGAAGAGTGCTATCTTACAGCATTGCAAGTTGCCCATTTGTTTCATGCTTTTGACAAGCGGCACACTAACGGAAGAACACTGTGCCAGAAGAACTAGAAAGATTTGGGATATAACTTGAAAGAAGCTCTTCGGGAAGTTGGCAACTATAAGCTATGCCTTTTGTACTTAAGAATTAGAGGTGAAATTTTGTTCTGTATTTTATTGAACCTCTGATCGGCGTTTGACACATTATTGTCATTTTATTCTTTCACGAGGCTGGTTCTACATCCAATGTAATATGAATCAGAACGTAAAAGCAAGGATGAATGATGCAAGGGATTACCTGGAAGAATATAGGGAAAGAGGTTCATCTGTTGAGAGCATTTGTTTAGGGGTCAAAACTAGGCATGGAGGTCTACTACAGAAACAAGGTGCCTAAACAAGACTTACCATGCTCACTTTGGCCAAGTTATCAGAATTCAGCTATACATGACTCTTAATGCACTCTACGCACTTTTTATTCATATTATTTCTCTTCGTACTCACAAAGATTCACCCCTTACAAAATTATGGAAGTTGCAGTTTAAGCTAAACCGGATTTCTTTAGAAAGACGGAGTTGAAGGGAAAATAAGCAAACAAGAGAATAGAATTCTCAGTAATATTCACTGGTATTAGAAAACTTTTTAGTGCCTTCAGTAACTGATCATTCCCGAGTAGAATCTCCAGTTTACAATATAAATCCCTAGATACTTTAATCAAGTAAAAAAGGGGATGAACCAGCAATTTTTTTTCAAGGGCTGCCACAAGATGAGGAAACTATGCACATGGCAAAAGCTTTCCAGACTTGTTTGACGTTAATTAGATTTCAGATTTCTTTTGTCAAGTTTCATTGGAGGCTCTCAGTTGGTGCTGCTCCTACGCCACTTTGCTCTCTTTCATTTACAATCCCTAGAACCGTCGAATGAAACCATCCTGTTGAAAATACAAGGTTAGGGTCAGAAAGTTCATTAGGAACATTAACTTAAGTTGTCATATCAGATCATTAATAAAATTTGGGACCCTGTTTTTTCTTCCTATTGCAGTTCCATATGAGAAATTAGTCGTCAAGGTTCCATAAATCACATATTAGGCGTCATTTAAATTAAAAATAAATAAAATTTATTTAACAAAGACACTAAGCAAGGGCAAACTTAAACACTAGTTGAGATGTGATCAGTTACGGAGAGGAGCTAATGGCATACCCTTAACTTATCCAAGCAGTAAATTCCTCAGATGCCATGCCAGGGGAGAGGGGCAGACTTTAATTGAGAAAGAAAGCGCAGACAATAAAAAATATAAGAAATGGAAACCAATTTAGTGAAATAAATCCAATTTACAATGCATAAGACTATGAATTATTATATTATACTGTATAGTAAAGGAAAATGATTTTTTACGGCAACAATAATAAACACTCGTTAATCACTGTTCATTGCGGTAGTGTTTTTTTTTTTTGGCCAGCTCGGCCTTCTTTCCCTTTTATTCCCGTTACTGTTCTTGGCTCCTCTTTTTTTTTTTCCCCTTAAACACTGAATTTTTTTTTAATTTCCATCCGTTTATTGTTCACATGAACAAGTGAACGACTAGCTCCTTTTTTTTTCCCTAAAAATTGATTTTTTTAAAAATTTTTATTTCTTAATAATGTTAGGTGTTAAAATTTTAAAGAAACCAACAATTAATTTGGTGTTAAAATTTTAAAGAAACGAATAATTTATTTTCTTTATTATTTATTTTTAAAATTTAAAAACACAAATAAGAAATAGTTAAATATAAAACTTTTTATTAAAAAATTATAATTATTTTTTTTATCATAAAACAGATTATTAAATTGAAATAATTTTTCTAAATGATTTTATATATTTTATTTAGCCCGTAGCGAAGCGCGGGTCAAAAATCTAGTTACATATAACTAAAAGAACTAAGGTCTATCTACGAGTGATGAGCAGTACCGAGTTCTTTTGTTTTCTTTTGTTCCTTTTTTTTTTTCTTCTTGCTGCTTGGGTTGAAGGGATGTTATCCGTATTTAAATAACAAGGTCGATCAACCGATCGACACATAATACAAAAATGAACACAACTTGAGCACAAAGTAGCCCATCAATATATATTGTTGAATGGGAAATAAGTAAAACCTTACATTGAGTGAGTTTATCAAAATTCAAATTTTATATCATACCTATTTTATTGCATTTAATAATATTAGCAACATAGTAAAAATTAACTCACATTTATTGTTCATTTTCTTCTCTTTAGTGGATTTCTTATCGAAATGCAACTCAACAATCCCTTCATATTCGAGAATAAGACCGATGCTCTAATTTGAAATGAGTTTGCCTCATGATTTAATCAATATGTAAGTGTTATCATTTTATATGTTTAGTTTGTTGATAGCATTAATTGAAAAATGACTAAACTTACAGGGGATTTTATGTTTAATTTACGGACATAAAATGCATAAGCAATTTTCATGAAAAACTAATTCTTGAAAGATCCTATACAAGGCCTATTGCTTACTATAAGATCGTGCAATAATTATTTTGTTAATAGTTATAGGTTTTGCACACTTGGTGGATCTTTAAAAATAGGTTCTTTCAATAACCGTGTTTGCATTAAATGAATCAATTATAGTACATTTGAGAGTGATTGTTACGGGATACCGATGAAAATTCTTGAGATAGAGTATCTTACATTACCAATCAAAAGAACAAGTATTGTTTAAATATGATTGGTTTGATCCTACACTACAAGGAATAAAGGTTCATCCACGAGTACAAATTTATGGATGTTAACTATAAGGGAACCTAGAATAGCTTACGAACCATTTGTCCTAACATCACGGTCGGCTCAAGTGTATTATATGGCGTACCCCGGCTTAAGGTATGAGAATCGAGATTGATGGGTCGTGTGTAAGATCAAAGCTAGGTTTGCATTTCACTTTTCCGATTCATCGGCTATCATCCAACAAAATACTGAACCATTTTAGTAAGACGATTCGGAAATCGACATGAATTGATAGAGAAAGTCGAGGACATCACTTTATTGAATAATCCAAATAGATCATTTGTAGATATAGAAGTAAGTGTGGTTAACGAGTGATAATGATTATGAAAATGCATCGGATGATGGAGATGATAACTTAAATAATGATTATGATAGTTCTAATTAAATTTATATTTTATTTATTGTGTTAGTAAGAAATGATGTAATTTTTTTCTCTTTATTAATTTCTTACATGCAGTTAATAATATCGATTTTTCTACCTCCACTAAATATTCGTTGTGTATTTTGATTGTTTTCTATTCATAAAAAATGATGTATTTTACTTTAATTACATATTAATTTACTTTGACAATATATTTGTTATATTTTATTTATGTGTTCAACATTAGATCATACGAGTAATGACTCGTGGTAATCATAGTTTACGTCATCCCTCTACGAGCACTATCGGATCACGTTACAGTAATTGTAAATGAGCATCATTATCGGATGTAGTCCATTAAGATCCCTTACCAGTATCGGTCGTGGTTTTTCAACGACAAGCCTTTTACGTGAATCCCACGACTCTTTGCAGTCATAGAGCCGACACATCGGCATCGACGGATATTCCTATATTGGTACTTTAGGTTTCATCATCGACCTCCAAGTAGACATGGTAATGGTTCGGTTTGAATCGTAAACTAAATCGAAACCAAACCGTTAAAAAACCGAACCAAAACCATTAAAACCGTAACCTTAATCAAACCGAATCGTAACCGGCTACCTACGGGTTGGTTATGGTTTAAGATATCATGAAACCGGAACCGACGATTCTAAATCGGCGATTTCACATTTTTCCTAATAAATTGGATTGGGTCAAAAAAAATTAAATAAAAAAACCAAATTTATATGGGATGGACGAGTAGCTATTGGATCGAAAAATGAAAAAAAAATTAAGCCTAATAATTTTTAAATTTTGACTTAATATATTAATATATACTAATATACATACATATATATATATATATATATATATATATATATATATATATATATATATGACAAACGGTCCGTGATCTGTTTGTCACATACTCAACGGTCACAAATGTTTGTGACCATTTATAAAACTGGTCACAAACATTTGTGACCGTTTTCTATTTTTGTTCTTTCTTTTCTTTTCTATAAATACTCTCTCACTCTCAATTTTTTTCATTCTTCTCACAACTCAATCTCTCATTCTCTTTCAATCTTTTAAACTCTTACGTCTAGAATTCTCAATACTATCCTACAATATTTTTTATTCTCCAAATACTTTTTAAATTTTTACATTTCTATTGTTTTATACTATAAAAAATGACAAGTTCAAGTTCACATATGTCATCACAACAAAGTAATACCGCCAATCAAAATCGGAAAGGGGAAAAACAACAACAATCAAATTTTACACCTAGATCATCCGACATCTTCAAAATTCATTTCTCAAAAGTTCCGCTAGAAAAAGACGTTTTACCGTGATTTGCAACTACCGCAACAAGCAATACACATTCAAACAAGGAGGTGGTTTTTATCTTTTAGTTTTGGTCAAAAAATAGGTTTTAGTGATTATTGTTCTAATGCTTTGAATCTCGTTTTCAAGCAAGTTGAAAGACATTCTTTAAAAAAAACAATTATAAAATTATATAGAGATAAAAAAAGAGAATTAACTGTATTATTTGCAAATTTGAATGGTCGTGTTTCTATATGTTCCGATATATGGTCCGATCAATGGCAAACACACTCTTTTATGGGTGTAACTTGTCATTGGATTGATAATGAATGGCACATGCAAAAACGTCTTCTTGCATATAGAGTTTTTGATGATAAACATACCGCTCAAAATATATATAAAATACTAAAAAGGATTT